AGTTTGTTCCATAGGATGGCGCCACTAATTCTAAAGCTATTTTTGTAATAATTTGTTCGTTGTAAAGGGATGCAAAGTTTATTCTCAGAGTCTCTAAAGTCATGTGCCGTTTCTCGTATTGCAAACCTAGAACATAAATATTCTGGAGCTAACCCGCGTGAAGACTTATAAACCATCGTGGCTTTTTCATTTTCATGCTGGCGCGCTAGATTGTTCCATCCTGGGAGTTCAAACAGGTAACCAGCGTCTTCATCGTAGTCTGAAAATGTCAAAACGCGGGCTGCTCTATTTTGTAGTTTTTCAAGTTTTTTCCTTAGGGTTATCCCACAGTTCCCCCAAACAGTATGGCAATAATTGAAGTGAGGGTGAATAAGAGCTTGGTAAATTAGTTATAGGGTCGCTTGGGGGACAAGGTGGCTTACTCGCTTTATGGCCCCGATGCCAGAAGATAATTTCTTTATTATCTTCTCCATATGGCGACCCCAATCGAGATTATCATCGATGGTCACTCCAAGAGATTTAGCCGTAGCGACTTGGATAACTCGAAAATCCTTAATTGCAAGTGTTGGGGAAACTGTTACAGTACTTAGCCTCTGCCTAGATCCAATTAACATGAACTCGGTTTTAAGTCATATTTAGAGTGAGTTTGTTTGCTCTTAGCCAATTTTGAACCTTTTCCACGTCTTCCTTTAAACTTGTCTGAATATTGTGAATATTGTTGCTCGCGAATGTAAGATGGGTATCATCAGCGTACATCCGAGGCTCGCAATTTGACAGGCAGTTGGGAAGATCGTTAACATATAATAGAAACAATAATGGACCTAAAATAGTACCCTGAGGGACACCACAACTTTAAGAGCAACTGCTAGAGAAGAGACCATTGATGGAACGCATTTGTGTGCGGTCCTCTAAATATGACTGAAACCATTGATGCGCAATACCATTAATATCGTAGAGGTTTAGTTTTGATAGAGGGATCTCGTGGTCCACCGTTTCGAAAGCCTTTTTTAAATCTAGGAATACGATAACATTGATTTTGCCACGGTCAATATTATACGCCCACGTATCCGTGGCGTCAAGAAGAGCCGTCACAGTTGAATGAATAGAACGAAAGCCCGATTGATTTCCAAAGCATCGTAAATTTTGATCTAAATGGCAAAAACGGGCGTAACGGAAATAGAGATGTCAATATATATCATTTTCTGCGACAATGGATGTTAGATACGTGATTCGTGACATGAAGGAAAATAGGGTCCTTATTCGTGACTGGGACCTATATCCCTTTTAACAACCTGACTTAGGGTGGATTCATTTGCAACATACGCGTATAGCTGTCGCATTTGCCCTCTGGAATTTTTTATTGTTTGTAACTGAGCCTAAAAACAATAAAAAATTCCTGTGGGCAAATACGACAACTATACGCGTACGTTGCAAATGAATCCACCCTTATTCAATGGCTAATTGAGGAAATAACTGGACTTGTTTAGACACATATTGAATGTATATGTTACATTAAAAGGGGATCTTTATTTATAAAAACTGTCAAATTTAGTAAATTTACAATGAAGCAATCTTTTTTTTTTACTTTTTATTATTATCTTTCCCGAAGGGGCTTTTTAAAGACAATATAATTATCTATTAAGTACAGAAGCAAAAAAAAATTAACTGGCTAATACATAAAAAGAGAGAAACCTACCACGGAATAAATACATTATTTATACTGGAGATTACAATATATACAAATATTCAAAGCCGAGAAAATAAGGTCTCATATAGTTCCTGCAATAACTTAGATCTAATTGACTGTTTAAAAAGTTTTACATTCGTACAAAGTTTAAGAGACGGGGCAAGGGAATTCCTTAAACTTAAAGTTCTGTAATAAAAAGTTCTTTGTCCACCTGATGTTTTAAAAAGAGGTATGTTCAGTCTTAGTGAATTGCGAGCTCTACGATTACTGACTTCTGTACGTTTAATAAATGGTGAGAAAAGATATTCGGGGGCACAGCCCGACATACATTTAAACGCCATACGCTACGACAGAAAAGCTCGCTTGCAACAGGTAACCATCTCAGTTTTTTTTAAGAAAGGGCGTGAGATGATCGTATTTGCGGGTTCCACTTGTAATACGGCAGGCAAACTTTTGCACAGCTTGCAACCTTATAAAGTTTCAAACCAAATACATTTTGCTAATTTGCTTCCTAACTGATGCAAAAAAATACTTTATACAACTTAGTTAAAAAAAAAGACTTAATTTACGAGAAGAACACTAAAAGAAGTTTTAGCAAAATTCACTAGGAATTTACAGCGACGTATAACAAATTCGCCAACTCCCCTGACTTGCTGCTAGAATGAGATCATGATGTCATAAAGCAGGCACTGTTAGCAGTGTTTTTAACTAAGTCTTATAATTAATTCAAAATGTATAAGTTTCAATTTCTAAGTATTTAAACTAGTTGATTGTAAAAAGACTCTCAGTAACTAGGTAGATTGAGGTAGGAAACGTTTTGAAACCTAACTACTTTTGCCATAAATTATATTACTTGATGCACCAAAATATAAGCAGTGGTCTTTGTTAAATATTTACACATGGTTACATAGCATGTTAAGAAAAATACTCTGGTAAGTTGATTCTATTATAAAACGTACTTACAAAGTATCATAAGGAATTGGTGTTCTCCCGCGAAGGGAGGTGATGAGAGGCTTTAATCTGTATTCACACACTAGATAAGGATTACTGGCAGACAGAAATGATCCTTAACCAATCATTACAACTCGATGAAACGGCTATTCTAACTGCCTAAAATATATACAGATTGATAAGGAGCAACTGAAACACCGAAATGTGTTTTGACTCATGATGTTTTATGGTAAGTAACACTTTAATATACGAATGTTCCTTTACGAAAAAATTCTACTTAGGACTAAACCCGACACTGGATCTTTTCAGAGACTGCATGCAAGGAACAGCTAGCGCAGAACTGTTCTTAACACCTTAATGCTGGTGAATATGCTAGAAAAAGAAAATTTCTGACCTGTATACTTACAGACGGTAAGACCCAGTGTTTACACACGCCGCAAACAGTAATAATAATCCGCGACATGAGTCGCAGACAGATAAACTAGTAATAATTACTACAGACATTTTGCTAGGACTTCAACTACAATAAAGTCTAATGACAGAGTTTTTAAAGGGCACTGTAGACAAGGTGCTTCCTAACAACCAAATTCTGTTGAGAATACTACAGTGATCAGTTTGTCGTAGTACTTAAGACGACTATGTAAGACTTTTTCCGAGACAAAAAAAGGTTTGTATTAAAATGGCTAATTGTGCCGTCACAATAACATTAACGGATTAAAAAACTGTACATGAAGAAAAATAGACGTCTTGTTTCTTGTCAACAGCTTAGCGAATAAGGAGCTACCAGGAGCCATA